CAGCCACGGACGCTAGACAGTTTACAAACACTAGCCACATTTAAGGCAGCGAGCAGAATCCATGAAAATTTCAATGCTGCAGATCGGGATTTTGAACTCAATAGTCTAAAAAACCGCTCCAACCGTTCAAGTATTGCTTCAAGTTAGGCACCAAAGTACGCAAAATTTATCTATTGCAAAATTTGACAGGATAATCAGAAGTACTTGAACGGTCCGAGGGACACTTTATTCTGTGAATTTTTGAGCTTAAACTTGTAGAGTAAATTGAGCCTTCCATTTTTGCTTAAAAAAACACAAGACTGCTAATGTGAAAGTTTAGCTGATGTTTTCATGTTCAACCGGTTTGACCTCCATACACGCGAAGTGTATCAAAAAAATTTATAAGCGTTGCGATGAGGGTCAGAGGAGATAAGAAACTAATTGCTCGCGATGGAGTCCAGTCAAGTGAAAAAAAAATTTATATATTCTTTTGTTCATTGATTCTTTCATTCATCTCAACAAAACATATAGTGAATGAGAAAAAAAGAATACGAAGATTTTGAACCACTGCTTTTGAGACAAATATAATTAGTGCCTACAAGTAAGAATTTTGCTTTAATATTTGGAATTGGTTTTTAAAATGGACAAAATTGCTCGTATCAGGGTAAATCCTCTTTGCAGTTCTATGGAGTGAGTTCTTTTTTAGAAAAAGGGTAACATTCAAACAAATGATAAAATTCAAAAAACTTTTTAGAGTTCTATTTTTGAAAATCAACCCCCCACACGCTATGTAAAGCACGTCTTATATTTTGCGTGTAGCAAATTATTAAATGAACCAAATTGCTCGTCTAGATTCAATTTGTAACGATTTGTAAGACGGATTAAATCTCCGCTTACGCGTTAATATTGTTAGTCAAAAATCGGAGTTTGTCTGGAGAAAAAAAACCCAAGCACAAAAAGAATAGTCGGAACAACAACTATTTTGGAATCAATAACTTGGGACAGCAGTTTGAGTTTGAAATTGCAGTTAACATGTAACCGGACCATTCGTATCAGAGTGAAATCCCGAAGCTTTAAGAAGTTGTGTTAGCTTTAAAAAACTTGAAGAAACAAATTCGTTAGATTTTTTTAAAAATTATGATTCTTTTTTGTAAGTGATTTATTTAGTATATAGAAAACCCACTGCTCGTATCAAGTCAAAACCCTGAATGTTCCTTTTCCCTATTCATTGGACTTGAAAAGTTTTTGATTGGTGCATGACTGCTCCTATCACTGCCAGGTTATAAATTTTAAGCTGATATAAGAAAATTCCAAATGTTAAGAATTGAATTGCATATGGAATATATGAGACCCATTATCTTGCCTCAGTTCAACTTGGATTGATTTAGCGGAGCGGGATAATGTTTTTTCAGCATCAAGTAAAAAACGAGCAGTTTAATTGGACTCATTTCGCAGCCACTGGTAGTAAATTTAGCATAGTGCTGAGTGCAACTATTAGTAAAACACGAAACGCAAAGGATCGAAACGCAAAGGAGCAAATTTTTTTTCGCAAATTTGTCTGAATAAAAAAACCACCCGACCATATTCTTCGAAAGTTGAAAAAATAATTAAATAGACTAAATAGCTTCTCTCGATTTAATTTGGAACAATTTCTAAGACGGATTAAATCTCCGGTTACGCGTTAATAGCACAAATTATATCCCAGAAATGGCAAAATTGGCTGTTTTTAAACCCCCAAAACTTAGCAAGAATTGATCATACGTAAAAAATATTTTTAAAAGCTTTGAGCTCAACACTACAATACCGTTCGAAATTCCGTCAAAAAATGCTTATTAAAAAAACGACGAATTTGTCTGTAGAAAAAACTCAACACGATCAAAATTATTCCGTCATTTTGTTTGAAAAACTGAACAATAACATCTGAAAAAAGTGAAAAACATAGATGAAATCTTGAAAATTTTTTTAAATTGTTCATTTTAAGTTCTGCAATGCATACATTGTCTTAATGAAACTCAATCAGGATATAAGAATAACAAAATTCGGGTTATGTTAATAAATTTTCTCGAATTGGAACTTCAAGAAATTCAGGTGTATGAACGCAATTGCAAATTCCCATAAATCCAAAAAAAAACACCATTCGATGAAAAAATAGGACGCAAAATTTACAATTCAAGGTTACGATAAAACGTCTGGCAAAATGCCAGCTCAATCTTCCAATGAATAGCTCCTCAATTTTTGCCTGGAAAAAGCATTTGTGAAGCGAGTTTAACAGTTTAACATATTTATAACCTTATTTCAACAAATGATAAAAATCGAAGGAAAATGACGAAAGAAAATGACAAGGAAGCCGTTTAGTTTAAAAAAACAAGGCGAATATGGCGAAAAAACTTCATATATCGAAATTTCAATTTCTTCAAAACTTTTGCAAGCTAGCGATTAAAGATTAGACAGAAAATGAAGGAAATTTTTACACTTATTGCAACTCTAATTTTTAAAATCTATTTTTTGCTGTTCAATGCAAAATAAGGAGACTAAGCCGATGAAACGTCAGCCAAAACCTTTCGATTAAAAAATAATTTAGAGAATGTAAAAAAATACTCAAAAACTGCGCTTGTGAAATAGCAAATATTGTTTAAATCTGAGACAAAAATTTCATGCTTTGGAAAACTTAAGCCAAAATGGGCAGACAAGAGGAATTCGAAGTTTTCCCAGACACACTATGTCAATTCCATACATACTCAAAAAAGGTCCGCCTAGGATTTGAATTCCAGATTTAAGTATGCATAGGCTCCAATGTTACCTCTAGAACAAGGAAGATGCATCTTGGAATTTCAATTTGAAACACAGAGGCGAAGTCGCACTTTGCATACACAAGAAAAAGTATAATCAATAAGGCTACTGGGAAAAACTGAACGAGTAAAACTTTGAGTCTACGAATTGTCTTAAGTGACGCAAGCCAATTAGCAGTATAAGTCAATTTGAAAAAGAAAAAAAATATATCAATTTCAAATGCCTCAATTTATAGAGCGGACGCGTTTTAGCTAGTATACGAAACAGTTTTATAAAAACATTCGACCCTGCCCAGGTTCGGACCCTATTGTTTTGTTGCGGATCTCCTCCCTACCTCTACGCTACAGATTCATGATACCTTGAAGCTAAAGTGCTATTTGTACAACAAAACTGCTCGTATCAGGGCGAGCTCTGAAAATTCGGACTGCCTTAAGGTCTCTGGAGCATTAATAACCTGAAAAAATTAAATGTAAAACTTTTTTTTTAATTTGAGATGTTTTTGTGAAAACATTCCCCCACACGCCATATTAAGTACAAAGTGATAAAATTTGCTCCTATTAACAAATCAATTATGGCATATAAGCTTCCTTGAACCAATTTGGAACGATTTCTAAAAAGGATTGAATATGCGCTTACTCGTTATTAGCGCGATATATAATGCGCGTTAATTGTCCCAAATTGGCCACAATGGCAATTTATAAACCACCATAACTTTATGAAAAATGATCACAGATTAAATATTTTTCCAAACTTAAGCTCAGGACAACAATACTTTTTGAATGATAAAAAAACCCGGTCAAAAATGGCTAGTTAAAAAGTCGAAATTTGTCAGAAGAAAAAAATCCAACCCAAGCACAAACATTCCGTCACTTTCGTTACGAAAGTCGGAGCAACAAGTTATCGAATTTCATCTTTTTGTTTAATGATGGCCTCTTATGTTGTTCGAATTTTCAGACTGATTCACACCACGTAAAAAGATTAGAACTCGCCAGATAAAGTGGCGCTCTTGGAAATCGAAACTGTTGGTGGCCAGCTCGAAGCCATCACAAATGCTCCAGATTGCAATCAAGCTGATATAGGCTATAAAGATCAAAATGAAATTGAGATAGGCTGAAGCAATTTTCTAGAAAAGGCCGTAGTATCCATAGAAGACAGGAGAGACATTACTATAAACTGATATTCCATTACTTTCGTTACGAAAATTGGAACAAAAATAGTCGGCGTTAATAACCTTAGTGCTGGCTGTACTTACCAGCTGGTATTTATCGAAATGAACACTTTCAAAATGAACACATTTTATCGCAACAATATTTGCGTCTTAAGAATATTTGCGACTTAGATTGGAGAAAAAAGATAGTTCATACTATAACACAAGCTAAGTAATAATTAACTTCAATTTCCAAGCAAGATTTTTAAAAGGTGTTTACTGGAAATAAAAAACGTCTAGTTCCTGATTAGAGCTCTCGCAAGTGAAATTAAATAATGTTGATTTTGAAAAAAAGATGCCAAGACTATGGAAAGTTAAATTAGCATCGGAAGAAAACCTACCAAGTAACAATCATACTTTCGCAGACAGCGATTGAGCCCAGAAAGAAATGTTTTCAGTTCTCACGCACACACGGTTATAAGAAAATTTTTTTGAGCTGATCAATGACTTAATCTTTAAAGCTGAAAAAACTGAGCTGAAAAAAAATACAGTATTCATAAAAGTAGTCATTTCGAATAGAACGGGCATCTAAAACGAACAAAGACATACAAAAGAGTCTTTTGGTTGGCAAAAGAACAGAATTGGAGGTGACCACCAATTCTATCAATCTATGTCATTTTGCCGTAATCATTTTTTTAGCGGTCTATCTGTTGGTTGCAATACTTTTGCTGATCGCAAAGGTAAACGAAACATAAAGTCAGTCGGAAAGAATCCACAGAAATTTCGATGGGCCAGGACTGAACCATCAGATATGACTCATTATCAGTTCACTAGATCCCTCGCGTACTGACACCATACTGTTACCCGAGTTGCACACACATTTGAGAATAAGCCACAATGAATCATATGCTATAAATTGGTCTATGCTATAGAATTTGTGCTGCTAACAGATAATGAAATGCAACATCTTCCTATTTTTAACACTTCAGACTATACTGACCACACTAAAAACATTGAATTGAAGCTACTTTTTCATTAAAATTGGCAGAAAATTCTCGCTTATTTTAGAAAAAAAACACTGGTCATAAATATACTAAAACTGTCCCATATATAATAAGACACAATTTGCTTGATAAATTAATAAAAACATATTATATTTTTTGCTAAGTTTACGTCTAATCTAAATTATCCAGCGGGGAATAGTCAATAGTCAAGTTCGAGTTCTGATCAGCTGAAGATCCTTCTTCTCCAGAGTTACTCGCTCCTTCATCGAGATTAATTTTCTTCTCTGCTGGTTCGCTCTTCTTGATGCTTATCAAATTAGCCATGTCACTTTCTGTTTCTGTGTTTAGCTGTGGTTTTTCGTTAATGTTAGATGTCTCTTTAGTCATTCTGTTGTTTCTTCTGAGCTTGAGCCACTCTTCTATTTTCTCTTTGAGCTCCTTGTTTGGTTGCACCTGAATAGAGACAATTTATTATACTATCATGTAGTAGTGACGAGTTTCAAACAAGTTTACGACAGAGGCGAAGCTCAAATTAACAAACAAAGGGCAAAAAGTAGCTCTAAAAGAGAAGTAAGGAAAAAGGTTAAAATTAGTATTAAAGAAAACTTTTTCATGCGCCGGAATTGAACCCCTGATTAGTCCCCGCAAATGACGAGTCTCACGTCCTCTCATTTGCGCAATGGTCGCATGCTAATTGGGAAACGTTAAGGAAGTATAAAACACAGATGCTAATAAATTTCCAATATTATGTAGCAAAAGCGCCACCAAATGAGTACCTTCCAGTAGCAAGTTAGATTAGAAAAGAGGATTCCTAATAACATACTACGCTCGATAGCTCGCTTGGGCAATTAAAATAGATAAGTACCAGTTTTTGAAATTTTTAGCACGCTAAAGCTAGTTTAACAGTGCTTAATAACCAGATCGTTTTAAACTACTAATTTGGAAGCAATATTTTTTTTTCAGAATCGGTTGGTTGCTTTTCGTTTTGTCTATCCAAATATTTTGCTATTCATTCCTCTTAAGTTTGGAGCAGTCGTTTCATACTGGTCGAGGTAACAGAAAAGCTATCATTGCTTTCGTGCGATTGCGACAGCGAAAAAATAAATCAGATCGATAATTTAACATGAACTCGCCTGTTCCATGGTTAATGGCTGTCGGTTGAAAGGATCAGTCTGGTCTGTCAGAAGATGCCTCGCAATTGTACCTGCAACACATTTGTGCAATAACGAATGATTTTGCTAGGTGGAAGTTTGATGTCTCTTATGATGAAAAACATTCTACTCTTGAAATTTTTTTCGTCACACCCAAAAAATTTACGGTCCGTGAATAGCCCAAATTTCGTTACCTTTTGAATTTCGAAGAAAAATAAAATGGCCTTTAAAGCTTTTCGAATTTTTAGAACAATTTATGGTGAATGTTTATGTTAAAATGAACCCAATTTGAGAAAACTGGATCAATATTTAAAACTTTCATGTCGCTGAAAAATCTGATAATTATTTCCATTTTCGAATTTAGAAGTCGATCACGTTTTTCGTGACCTTTACAATTTTGCCTTCCTTATAACAGTGCAGTTGCCTTCCTTATAACAATAGAAAAGCGCTGAACTTAAAAAAAACCACAAGTCAAATCGCGAAAAATCAAAATTAAGCATGAAGAAATTTTACACAGAGGCGAAGAACACGACCAAAAAGCAGCTTTATCATGTGACACAGGAAGAAGTAGAAATAAGCCTCGAATTTGCAAAAACTCGAGGCTTCGGAAAACTCAAATTATCAAAAATCTGCGACATAGCAAACTTGAGTCTCACGCACTAACCATTCATCCACGGATGCCCAAAAACTACCCATCAATAACGCAGATACACATGCTAATAAATTGTCAATTAGATGCAGCAAAATTAGCACCAAGTCCAAAAAAAGTACAATTTTGCATGTAATAAATTGCAAATCATGCATTTCAAAAAATTGTGAGATATATTGAGTTAGAAAATTTCTGAAATCGAGATTTCATTATTGTTATGTTGTTTGAAACAAATAGCTTTTTCGGTTCACTTGAATTAAAAATGCATCAACTGTGTAAACTTATAACTATTCGAATGTCAAACCACATGCTATCAATAAGCTGTTAAGGTGCAACAAATAAGCTGACATGCCAATTCGATGCAACAAATTCGCTGCAGCAAATATTGATGCTTTAAGTCGCAACGATATTTGCAACTTAGTCGCAACAATATTTGCGACTTAGGTTGAAAAAAAAAGAAAGTTCATACTACAACACTTTGCTTCGCAAGTGTAAAGACTATTTCCTGAAAAAAACTTAAAAAAGTCAGCAAGACCTATATAAGAGTACGCACTGCGTTCATTACTCTTAAAAAAAACAAAAATTTCAGCAAGACTTATATAACAGTACTCACTACGTTCATTAATCTTAAAAACAACAGCAAAAAAATTTAACACATTCAATTTCGATTTCTAAAAATTCCTGAAAGCTCTACTTTAAAATGGGAAATGAACATCACGTGGCAGGCGTTCGTACTTCTAGCCTCTCGAGAATTATGTAAAAACTAATTACGTCTCGATAAATCTAACTACCTCTGTCTAAAGTGGTTCCACTGGAAGGAAGAGTGACTGGGTCCAGCATCAGCACACTCATGATGGGATCCAGGAACTCCTCGGGAGCATCTGTGACGTCATCGTCCTCCACCTCCAACTCACTCTCCGCACTCTTGCACAATTGTCTACAAAACACACAAAACTCGACACCATAAGCATAAAGAACCTAAACTGTCTACAGTATACATATTCGGAAAGATTCCGAAAAATATTTCAACAGTGAGGCGAAGCTGAGCTTAGCACCAATTGCGATACAACAACTATACGACGAGTGCACCATGACGTTAAAAAAAGTTAGCAAACACTGAAAAACTCGCAGAACAAATTTTTTAACCAGTTACCACAAAATATGCCTCTTCAAAATTTTTTATATTTGTTGTAAAAGCAATTTTCAGAGTCATTAACGAGTTTTTTATATCGTCATAAGCGTGCTCTATCGCATATTTCAAAATCTATTCTACCAAAATTGCGTTAAGACATGAGGGAAGTCAGATTAGAGTTGCCTTATTACGAATAACGGAAAACTTATCATCAAACATTATGTCTCTATGTGTGGTAGATGGTGTGACAGTAAAGGTGCAAAAAAACGAATTTTGTCATGGTCAGTAACTTGTTCTACAGACCCTAGCTGATGGATGGAGTCTATGAGTTGTTGAGTGACCTCTCCCTCGACCTCTTCTCTGCTGGTGCTGATCTTGTACAACACCTCCACTGCACTCACGAACAGACCACTAAACAAAATCAACAATAGAAAATAAACATCACAAAAATCTAAATTTGAGAATTTTTAGAAGAAAAATTCAGACAAAGCTCACGACATGCATTCTTGATCATATAACTCTCTAAATTTTTTCAAAAGCTCCAACTTTAATTCCAACTACTCGTTATACTCAGAGGAGCAAATACGAAGTGGCTAAGGTATCCGCATATCAATCGAAACGTCGGTAGTTAGAGACCTATCAAGATCTTTGCTCGTTGTCTAAGGGCGAGGCAACAATGTTACGCCCAGAAAAATAAACAAAAAGAGCAGCCTGTAGTTCCTAAGCAGTAGCACATCAGCGGTACTCCACGAGGAGCCGGACTGCTCATATGTTGGCCGTTTCTCTAGTGAATAAATAGTAACAACTAAAAAACTCACCTGGAATAGGATCTCGCATCTCGGACAATTGCAGCCGCCAACACCTTTGCATTCTCACTATTCTCCAGGGAATCATGAGGAGCGGTGATTGCGGATGATGACGATGGACTGGTTTCAGTTAGGTTCTTGTAGATATAGCAGATATCCTTGACCAGTTTCTTGGCCTTGAATTGAACTTGGGTTCCTGTAAGTGCACTCTTCACGGCTAGGTTGTTCCTCTCACTACCCACTAGTTTGTTCAGGAAATAATTCAACATGGATGCCACTCTGTGCACGAAGGTGGAGTGGAGGAAAAGATCCTACAAAAATACTCCTACTTATTATTTTTTGAGATACAGATGCGAAGCTGCACTTCGCAAACGCAAGCGAGTAAACTCAAATAGGGAAAAAAACTGAAATAAGGAAAAAAAGGTAATAATTAACCTTAAAAAATAAAACTTCAGCTACATTCTGGAATCTATCTTCCGTCCTGGAGAAAAGAAATATCACGTCCTCGCATCTGCTCCACTCTCGCTTGAAAAATTACAACAGCTACAACTGAAGCAGCTACAGTTGCTATTAAATTGTCAATGCTATACAGCAAAAATTCCATCAAAAAACTATTTCAAAGGGTTGGAATGAAACCTCCTACCTCTAGTTTAAGAGCCTCACATACACGCATCTCTGCCACGGTCACGTGGAGATAAGCCGACTCAAATAGCCAAGCAGCCTTGGAATAAAGATGCGCAGCATAATTCCGCATAATTACAGCATAAAAGCCTCAAATTTGAATGATATCGCAGAATACCACATAATTGAAGCAATTTGAGCATACCAAAGACATTAAAATACTATAACTTCCCAAAATTAGTGTTTTGTTTTGGGAAAAATAGGCTCAGTTTAAATTCAACTCTTAATCTCAAATTTCAAAGGATTTTTTTTTCGAGAAAAAAAATTAAAAGCAGTCAAAATTTCAAAAACTGGACATCGTTTATGACTATAGTTCTTTGAATGAAGTATAAAAAAGTGCATCAAAATGACAAATATTGGGCCTTTATTTGAGCCCTTAGCGGGTAGCCCGCTTATGCAAGGGAAATCTCTAACACTTGCTCTTTCGAACGAAACCTTCGACTGAAATTTGGCAACGTAGTTTTAAAGAAACCTGCTATTTCAATTGTATTCTTAATATCAGATTTGGCAGGGTACTTTTTGACAAAAGTCTTCAGAAAAACAGTCGAAATTTCAAAAGAAAAATCTTCTTTAAGTCAAAAATGTTTTTCTACAAAAAAGTAGCGCTTAGGTCCCTCATGCAGAAAAATCCTACAGCTATTTTTTTTTCGATAGAAACCTTTTATTTCAGATTTGCCAGGGTAATTTTCAAGAAAGTCAACAAGTTTCCAAAAAAGGGTAATTCAAACATTGTACATTTTCTAAAGCAATAACTTCTTTTATCTAAAACTTAGGGCAACGCCCTAAGTTTTAGATAAAACCTTTTATTTTTTTTCGATAGAAACCTTTTATTTCAGATTTGCCAGGGTAATTTTCTAGAAAGTCAACAAGTTTACAAAAAACGGTAATTCAAACATTGTACATTTTCTAAAGCAATAACTTCTTTTATCGAAAACTTGTGTAGAGAAGATTCACAAAACCTATTCTTTCGATTAATTCCGTATACTCAGATTGGGCAATCTGACTCAGATTGGGCACAATCACTTTAGCACCAAAAAAATGTTAACCTTTTCATTCGGTTTAACTATTGAGCTTAGTTTAGTAGAGTATTTCGAATACTGAAAAACATCCCAAAAATGGTTAAAAATTCTAAATCTGGACATTTCTGTGGCCATAACTAGGGCGTAGCGATTCATACAGGGATGACTCCTACCGAATCAAAAATCTTAGATTTGAAAGTGTCGCTTTCGACAAACAGGGCGTAGCTAATAGGCACCAGAAGATATACTCATTAGATGTTGATTCGATTGAGCTTTTTTTGAGAAAATACAAAAAAATCTTAAAAATGAGTAAAAAATACCCCCTCGCCCATTCAACACTTCTGGTCGCACATACTAACCACTCAGCCAAGGACGCTAAATTGTCACCAAACAATAGCCACAAATAATGCAGAGAACAGATGCTATGCAATATCCAATGCTACAGTGAAACTTACAAATAAGTGAACACTTATAACGAACACTTTTATATGCGAGTTAGATTAGAAAAAAAAGAAGGTTCGTAGTAATACACTGCGCTGATGGCTAGTGAAAACCTGTTTTCATAAGACCTGCTTTTATCCAGCTATTGAATATGGTATTAATTTGGCAATGCTTGGAACATATCCAACTGACAGTTGGAAAAGAGTAATGAACGCAAGCAAACTAGAAAAAAAACGACCTGCTTTTTCAAAAATCTTTTAAATTTCTAAGAAAAAAATGATGGTCTTGAAGCTCCTTGAATTTGCGGAACAATTAATGATGGACACTTTTTAGTTAAAATTTACCCAATTTGAGAAAATTGGATCAATAGATAAAACCTTCATTTCGCTGGGAAATCTGATAACTAATTTCCATTTTCGAAATTAGAATTTAATCACGTTCTTCGTGACCTTACAATTTTGCTGTTCGATAGTGGAGTTTGAATTCATTTTAAAAACAGAAATGCACTGAAATTAAAAGAAATCACAAGTCAAACCGCGAAAAATCAAATTTGAGCGTGAACAAATTTTAAGACTTTTTCCTAAAACAATCAACAAGACCTATATAAGACCGAATGAACTGAAAGATCTATTTTTTGTGGCTCATTACTGCAGTCACAGAAAATCAAAACTCTGAATAGCTTCACACACGCAGTAACTGAAGTATTAGTAGACACTCTACTTATTAGAAATGGTCTCACTTAAAGGTGCAAACGCATCACGATTTAACGTCATGAACAAAACTAGGCATCTAAAAATAGTGAGCCTTAAATTAGTTTTAACTAATCAGTGTCACAACTGATAACCTAACCGCTGCAAACTCAGTACTTAGTACAAAAATAACAACATACTCCATTTCTTAGCTGATTGAGGTCCTACGATTGTCGCTTACAAGACCTTCTTGTTAATGGTTTAGCATTGACTTCTGAAGACTTTGTCTCTTAACTTCTAGCAACAAAGCAACCAATGTTACACGAAGAACAACCGACGGATATAGAAACAATAGATACACATAGTAATTCATAACTTTGACTTTGAACTTGACTGACCTGTATGGAGTGTGTGATGAGTGTGAGTGAATTTACGATGTCTGTGGCCGTCACACAGTGGAAGTTGGCCATGTGCACCAGCTGTCTCAAATTCGCCTCCCTTTGCATCCCTCCCAGCTGTCCCAAACGAGCCCACTCTCCAGACTCCCTGCATATGGCAACAAATAAAAGGTCAAACATTAATTCAAAACATACTCCATTTAGGCCGAAACATCAGGACACCAAATGCGGTGGAAGCAACCAATGGATAGAAACCTCTAATTTCAAAATCACCGTATATAGCTACCAGAAGTCTCAATAACCTCAGGAAACCATTAATTTTCATTTAATATTTAAACACAGAGGCGAAGCTGTGCTTCGCAAAAACTAGGGAGAGCACGACAAAAAGCAGCTCTAGAGTTCTAAAAAGTGCAAGAAAAAATGCGTCTGACGCACTAAGCACTGCACCACGGACGCTTAGTCCATCAAACACTAGCCACAAACAAAACCGAGAACAGATGCTATGAAATTTCCATTGCTACACTTTTAATGAACACTTTTACTTGCGAGTTAGGTTAGAGAAAAAAGAAGGTTCGTATTAAAACACTAGCTGCTCGCTAGCGTAAACACTCAACTTAGAAAAAAACAAAAAAAAAATTTCAAATCCTAGTTTAAAAAGACAGAAGTGTACAAACAAGCCTTAGCGAACTGCATCATTACCTCTCCCTTTCCATGTTTTTGATCTGAGTGATGTACTGCATGCCCTCGTCTAACAGGAATATGGAGTCGTTGAGGAGGAGGTTGATGAAGCGCACAAACACAGGCACACTGGCCGCCTCTATATGCTCAACTGCCTCCCTAAATCACATCTCTGTCTCGTCTCATATACTGCGCATGAAGTAACCCTATAGCGTATATATAATTGGGTAATTTAATTAACAACTTGCTCGAATTTACGTATTATGCTTTTTCAAACAGAGCTCGTCCGCAACGGACACTCAAAAAGTATATGAATTGGCAATGTCTTTAAACCAACATAACTTAAGCCAAAATTACAACCGACTTACGTAAAAATTTCATAACAACAGTGACAATTTCGGCTTGTTGGAATGGTAATCTTATTTTCGGCATGTTGGTATACCACCTACCAGATTTTTCCTTAACTGTTGATTCTTTTCCATTTCTAGAAAAACTATCCTTTTCTACGATGTTGAAACCTCTGACCTGTAAGACAATTGAATATTGTTTTGGGGTTCATTGGTCGAAGAGTAACAACGGATATAACCCCACGTTAAGTATTTACTTAATAGGCACAGTATCAATTTGCTGAGACTCATTTTAAATCGCTATCTAACAACTGAACATTTGCTTTCAGACTGAAAACTTTGTTCACGTTGTAGAACACGGGCGAATTGTTCAATCAAAAATTCCACTCCATTTAAGACAAAGCAATTAATTTATAATTTGAAGAAATAAGAGTCAGCTAATTCAATTCAATGAGAATGGGCACTTAGAGATCGAATCAGCAAGAAAAAGCCAGTAAGCCTGGAAAAAATCACCAAATCTATATAAGAGTACTCACTACGTTCATTGCTCTTAATTAATTAAATAATTTAAAAAAATGCCAGCGGACATTATCAATGACATTTTCAGCAATTCATTTTTATAGTCAATAAATTTTTGCCCGCCTAGGACCAACGTTAGACACTAGGCCCTTACGATTCTAGACCTAGATAAAAAAGTAATTAATCAAATTCTCATTTATCATTTTATCTCGTAATCATCTCCTTGTTGATCATCTCGTTGTTACATCAAATCTTTTATGATTTGAGTCCAAATACTCTCGAACTATCAAAGGAACCTAATGATACTGCCGATAATCTAGAGACGAAGTCATTCCTAGCACCCGGTCATCAGATCCTTTAACGTGTTCATGCTTCTCCTTACTGCAGTATGCTCCAATAAGCTCGAGGGGAGCTAAAATAGGGACAGGGACCAAACCAACAGAGCGAAATTAATCGTCTAGCAGCATGACCGGATCTGAGACCATGGGTTTAGTCCATAGAAAAGTAGATTTTTTTGTATGATGCAACACATTAACGCAGAAATCAAATTAGTTCATGCAGCTCTTGGTTATTTAGTATATAATTATCGAAAACATTATGAACAAATTTGTTAGTTTGGCAGCTATTTTGGATCTCATCAACATTATCAAATAAATGCATCTTATTTAAAAAGTTAAACATTTTTACCAATCTGGATTGAAGAATATAGTTAATGCCTGAGCTCCGAAAGTGTTGAACCTTACCTTCTTTCCATGACGATCGAAGATTTACATGATTCTTTTTAAAATGGATTCATTTAATTGCTTAGTTATCTCTTTAAAGAGCTCATATTAATATAACTCGATCATAGTAGTTAACTTATTATCAACCATCAGTTCACAAACGCTTTCAGGGAAACTTTCAAATAAAACGACTACGGTAATTCATTTTGACAATTTAATTTAAATTACTTCCAGTAGTGCACCCAGAAACTATAACAATTTAATGATTGACGGGTTAAATGAAAAAATTATACTGGAACACAGTTCGCATTTGGTGCAAAAACCACAAAAACTTGAGAGCCTTTTCAAAACAAAGTTTACATGATTCTCAAACGAGAGTCGGTTATCGTCAAACAACCCAAGATATTTATTATAAGACTATTCAGAGAAACTTCTTGTTCATTAACAAATGACACTTTGAAAAACTGATTATTTTTGTCGTTCCACTATTCAGCATTAAATGATTGGCGGACATCCAATTTGATACGGCGCGTAAAACCATATTGAGATGACCATTCTTTGATCTTCCAATGATAGCTGTATCATCAGCAAAAACTATAGGTGTAGATTTCTTGCATATCCCAGCCAGATCACTTATATAGGTGAGAAACAGCATGCTAAATTTTTGAAAGATAAATTAAAGTCTCCTAAGCTAACATATTACTTTCGGTCAGCTAAAAAAAAACTTTAATAAGAGCGAGAGGCAATCCTCTTATCCCGTATCGCTCAAGCTTACAAAGCAAAAACTGGCGATTTAGTGTGTCAAACGCTTTTTTAAGATAAATAGAAACACCACTCAGCTGTTCTTTGGTCAAATAGCTGATTTGAAGGTCATTAACCATTTGAGCATCAATAGTTGACATGAATGATGCATCAATAGTTGACATTCCATTGCTGAACCCGAACTGTTCCTTACAAAACACAGAGTTTGAATTTAAAAAATGGACTAATCTGTCGTGGAGAAGCGTTCGAGACTTTTGCTTACAATGTTAAGCAGCGATATCGGTCTATAATTATTACTGTTATCTAATTTGCTACCTTTATGCAACCTTACAAAGAACAGATATATACAGCTTCTCAATAAACTTATTAAAAATTTTGGCAAAGTAGGGAGATAGAATGGGTTCAATTATTTTAAGAGCGGTGCTAGATATACCATCTGGGCCACAAGAAGGCTTATCCTTTATGCTAAGGATGAAAGTAGATATGTCTGATGAACTTGTTGGCTCTAGCTAAAACGAATGGACGCTAGTATTTAGTAAGGTTGGTTGGGCATTTTAATTACTCTGAGGAAACGTTCATCGGAGATGAAGATCAAAATTCTTCACAAAGGAAGGCCAGGCTTGACGAAGACACGCGGAATGTCTATTTCTGAACATATGAAAGCTTGCAGTGAACTAACAACGCTCTCGAAAAACTTCACCGCACGCTAGGAAGGAAACTTACGGTGTAAGAAACAGCTTGCATGTTCAACGGCCAATTATATGGAGATCAATTATTTGAAAACCGACGCTCTTAATCTGGCACTTTTATCATTAAATTTAGATCGCTTTATCATTAAGTTCTGTCTATGATTCTACTATAATCATATTTATATTGATGGTTTTTAGATTTGATTTAAACTTTCCGAGTTGTAGTTTCGCCTAATACTATTATGTGGTATAGTAAAACAAATACTGGGGGGCTTTGGCCTATGGTCGTATGGGGGATTATATCCAATGGGATTTTATCCCGTGATTAAAATCACGTGCGCAAAAGCAGTTCTACCTGGCCATGTTTTGCATGGTGGCTCTCAAGTGTGGTATGGTCCACATGATGTCCAGCATCTTCATCATGGGCTTGCGGTACATAAACTTCTGCTCAAAGTGGATCTCATCTCCGCTCACACTCTGCTCAATGTCCACAAAGACCTAGAGTACATGAAGACCTAGAGTACAATGTCCACAAAGAACTAGAGTACATTGATCACAACAGCCAAAGTATACAAAAAAATTAAGCGAAAATATCAATTATAAAATGAAATACAATTTCTTAAAACCTACTTTCTCCGATTACCGGTCAAAAGCGCTCAAAAACAAAAAAAAATACTGTAAAAACACCAAGTAAAATATTGTTTGGAAAGTCTTTATTCCGATTTGATAACGCTTGCTAATCGCAAGCGTAATAAGTCTAAACATAGCCAACAGACAACAAATTGAAAAAAAAACTCTGACATCGCGACCTAAATAAGAGTCTGAACTACGCTCATCGCCTCTTAATAAAGCTGATTAATGAAACTTTTTATATTGATTGAATCAATACAGAATTAATTCTGAAAGAAAAACAAAAAACCACCAGACATAACTACATGAAAAACAAGGATAGCCGGTTACTGTGCAAGTAGCACAGAATGTTCCGATGTTCTTTAAAAATACAAATTAGCGTCGTTTTTTCTGCGTGGTGTGATAATATGATCTGAACGAAAAAAAAAACTTAGCATAGTCGACAGACAGTCATAATAAATGAAAAACAGTTTTTGTAGAAAAATGAAAGAAAAACGAAAAACAAATACAAAAAAATTTTCAAATTGTTTTACAGAATTTTTAAAAAATTTTCAGGTTTTTAATTACCAAAACAATTTTTACTCGATTAAGACTTAGTTTTCACGGCTTAAGTTGAGCATAAATAAGCTATTAGAAGCCTGCACAAAATAGACCAAAAATCAAAAATTTCTAACAGGTTTTTCTCGATACTGAAAAAAAAATTCAGAACTTTTATTTTTTTTTCTAAATCACGACTGAAAGGGCTTTAATCGACCCATTCCGATAATTATTTGTGGTAACTGATTTTTCATGGAAAACAAAAAGAAAAAACTAAAACACTCCCGAATACAAAGTTCTTCCACATTTTTCAAATGGTCGGAACAATAACCAGATCCATAAAACTTAGCAGACACTAACCTTCACAATGGCGTATGCCACACTGTCTTTCAAAGGGATGCTCTGGAATCCCTCCGCCTTCTTCGCATCCAGACTGCGTCCGATCGCAATGCTCCTACCACCCGACTGCCTGGACTCGAAGTCATCGTGGGCCAGAGTCAGTTCCAGACACTCTGCCAGTTTGGCCCTCAAGTGCGGATTCGTTAGCCTCTCTTTGTGAGCCATGAACATAATGAAGAACGCCTGAATAAACAGAAGACAGAAATCATCTTTATCTTTTACCGTTTTAGCATATGAAATTTTCGTTAGTCGTCCATTAATTGAACGAATTTTTAGAGGGGGCTATTCTCATGCGCAAAGGATCGAATGCGCGAATATTATGAACCAATCAATGCCCTTCAAACTGTCAAAAGCTGACAGCGATTATCGCTCCATTCTTTAGAGCTTTTGAATACTGAGCTCTGATTGGTGGACCAAGTTTGGGTCCTTCGCCGATGAGAGATTTCCCCCCTTGTAATAAACACCAATTTCAAAAAAAAATTAAAGCTGATGTATAACACAGCAAAGCTGAGCTTCGCACCACTTGCGATACAAAACAAGAAAGCCGTTAAACAGAAAAACAAATCGATGAAGTTTTAATCGACGATTAAAGACCAAAAAAAGAAGAGTTTTAAAACAAAAACATGCCGGAGCAGAAGCCTTTTAAGCTGAAAAAAAATCAACAAGACTTGACTTATAAAACGTTCATAAGTCGCCCTCGCCCTCAAAGCACACACAAAACTTTTATTTCCCGTCAAATGAAACAATATGAGGCCACTAAGACGTTGCAATATAAGCCGAAACCTATTGTATGCGTAAAGCCAAAAAAAATTCTACTCTGTGGCAACTTAGCAGCCAAATAATAAGCCGAAAATTTTGTTCGAAACGGAATAATTCCATTTTGAAAAACATACAGTTCTTGTCAGATTCGAACCCAGCACCTTTGCCTACCCAAGCGTATACGTTACTTCCAGGCCACGACACGCAAAAACATTTGAATTCATTATAAACTTAACCTACATGTACCATTTTTTTGACCATTTTGTGAGTTATTTACGGGAAAAAACCTTATACCCGATTTCAAAACCCCTGCCGATAGGAAGGGTAGTAAATTACTTTATACTATTACCATAGTGTGCAGCAAACATGAGTTGAAACAAGGATAGCCAGTTGCTGTGCAAGTAGCACAATGTTCCGACCACATTCATTTAAAAATTACAAAAAGGTGTTTGCATTTTTGTTTTCTTCAAATTACTTTTTAGTGCGTAGTGAGATTAGTGAAATATAGAAACACGTCGAAGTATTTGAATTAGGCGTATCGACAGCATTTTTCCTCAAAAAAAATCAATGACAAACAAAAACTATTTTTTGTACAACAATTTTTATTTGTTGTATAAAACTTGTATTGACAGGGAAGAGCTTGAAACTTCCAAAAAAAGTTTTTCCTTTAAGTAAAAGTACGCTTTATTAGCCTAAACGACTATAAAAGGTTACTTTTTCATAATTCAACTAAAACTCAAAAAGTATAAACCTGTTTTTCTCGACACTGGGTCAACACGACTGAAAGGGCTTTAGTTTAATTTATCAATCATTTCATTCCGGTAAATATTTGTGCTAACTAAATATGAATGAAAAAAAAAACTAAAACACAAACTAAAACCCGAATACAAAGTTCATCCCGATTTTCAATGGTCGGAACAAATAAGCTTTCAGTTTTCAAGCGAATTTTCAACGGGTTCCCATTTACTGTCTACTTCCGACAAGATCGCCGTTGAAATAAACCTTGCCTAACCTGGAAATCAGCTAGCACCGGTGGCGTGATATCTCCCTCGTTGAATCTCCTGTTGTAGAGAATAAACTCAGAGATATTCTCCACCACAATTTCAGGAAAACAACTGAGAAGGCTCAGTCCACTTGTTGGAGTTCTTTGTTCAACTCGGGGTGCCATCAGAATGCTCCCTTCAAGCAATACAGCACAATGATGTCCATCATGGTGATTATTTTTAATACTTTTAATTAGAATGTGATACTGTTAACGTATAAAATAAAAAATCAAGGATAAACAAAATGACCGGCACCTTTTTCTTGAAGCTATCCCATTTACGGAGAACCGCATCAATATATAATTTTCATTCTTCTGAGAATTCAAAAAAACTGAAGTCCACTTTCAAAACTAAAAGTCATTCGCGTTTTTCGTTGCCTTTACAATTTAGCTGTTCACTAGTGGAGGTTGCCAACCTTTTAACAAAGGAAAAGAACTGAACTTAGAAAAAAAAACCAGTCAAACCACAAAAAATCAAACTATATAAGCGACAATCACTTCGTTTTTTGACACTTGAAAGAAGAAGCAGCTCAAGACTTTTTTCACTCGACAACTACTTCTAGTATCACAGGTTAAATTGAACAAATTTTAAAATAGTTATTTATCTGCTGGACACCACAGCTCGTGCCTTCGTCTCTGGAGTCCGTCTGTGCGTAGTGGCACAGCATCACACTGGATGTCTTGAGGAAGTCAATGGCCAGAGTGGTGAACATGGGCTCATTCAGGGCCACTCTGATTGAAAAGAATCGTACCAGTGCCTGGTCGTACTTGTTGATCCAACTCTAAACAAAGGTACCCTTGTCAATCCTATTCCACTGATTGTTATTTGAAATTTCTAAAAGAATTGTAAAATGAATTTAAATTACACAGTAGAACTGTTCGGGCCATTTTCCCCAATCACTTGTAAAAGGAAGAAATTTTACTGATTCAGTGCTTGTTACACACAATTAAGCGCTGTACAGAAATGTCGTTTATGGTCATCTCGGTACCGTAATGCTGCTTTCTGCATTGATCGTTATTCACGCTGCACAAAATTTTAAAAACAGTTTCTTTTTGTCAAAGAAAAGATATTTGGTGCTCAAAAAGCATAGAAGGTTCCGATCACAGGCAAGTGAGTAATATTTTTTCAATACCGTTCAAATCACGACTTAAAAAGCAGTCACATATCAGTCAATCTCCACTAACATTCATCTGTGTTACCGCATTTTAGGTAGACAAACATCCCCGAACATTAAGTTCTTCCACGCCTCCTTCGTTGAAATGAACAATATAGAGACAGAAACGATCACTTTTTGAAAATAATTTTAAAAAATCAATTTAAAATTTGAACAAATTAAAAATATATATAAAAATTCAATTAAAAAAATCAATGCTAAATCTTTCCGCGCTTATAAGAGTAATCAAGCAGGACTTCGTAAAAACAAGCAACAAAAACCAGCAAAAAGGAGTCATAAAAATCAAGAAAACAAGGTTTGGGGAAGAATTTGAAATGCGGAATTCACCAGCTTTAGAGGATTTGATACTCGGACCTTCCGACCAAACGTCGCTTGCGTTATGCATTAACCACTGATTCACATTACTATCGAACGTAATCTAATAAATAACGCATGCAGCAAGGAATGCGCTTCAATTAATAGAATGTAGCTAAGGCTAATTGTTATCGCCAAATGGAAACTAAACGGCTATAAAAATTTGGACTTGAAAATTTACAGAACCAACAATCGAAAAACAAGTTGACGAAACAGAATAATAAGCTTTTGGCGAAGAAAAACGATGCTTAATGAAAACAAATCGTCATAACTTCTGATCAAAATCAGATATTTTTGAAGACAAAATTCTAATTTGTCTGACAAAAAAAAACAGCAAAAAAACTAAACTGCATTGAGATGTTGAGCATAAAAAATAAAATACGGATATTCGCTAAGCGAATATTAGTGGTTGCAAGAAAGAGAAATTACCTGATAAGACAAAGGTTGCTTTTATAACACAAAACAAAATTATAGCAAAGTCAAAGCACCAGACAGCAAATGAGATGAAAGCCGCAGGTCGAAAAAAAAAGATCTACCAACATGTCTTGAAAACTCATTTTGAGGAAAACATGCCAGGTTTCGACAATGTATTCTTAAATTAGCACCAAAACAAAACTTACGGAGTGATAACAAAGCTGACAATATTTAAGCACACACCCTTTAAACAAAAAAATTGTTTTCATAACATAGGCGAAGCTGAGCGTCGCACCACTTGCGATACAAATATGAATGACTATGATTAAAATCAACCACAAAAGAAATGAAAAAAAAAAAGAACTTCAAAAAATCGTTCGTCAAAAATTGCAACAAAGGACCAAAATATCCGCTAAAAAATTGCCTCAATCATTGGAAACTCTACAAAGAGCTTTAAGATAGCTATAAAGAAGGCAAGTTTTCGAAAAATCCTTTCTGCGAAACTAAGCAGTTGAAAAAAGCAAACAGAAAAAAATTAGCCAAAAATTTCTTTTTGCAAAAAAAAACAGGTCTCAACTGGAATCGAACTCCCGGGATTTTTTGTCTCAAGCATGAAGGTTACAGCAACTCGGAACAATGCTGAACCATCGAGCTAGGGAAACCAAGCCGACAAAAATAATTAGACGGACGATAGTCAGAAAAACAAAAACTCTGTTTCAAAAAAAGGGCACGACCGGATTCAAACCGCAACCTTTGCTATCTAAAACAGCTGTTTTACCTCTAGACTAGATAGTTGATTGGATTTGAATTTATAATAACCGAGCGGTAACACAGCCGAAAATACCCGAGGAGAAACCCTTCCTGCCGAAAAAACGACGCAATAAGAGGCCACTAATTCGATATTAATTAAACCGAAAATTATTAAGCCGACAAAAAGACAAAACAATGAAAAAGTTAACAAATCGAGCTGGTAAATTACAACCAATTAGAAAAACAAATTTCAACTCGGCCGGATTTTTAAAATGCTCATAGCAACTGCAGAGAGAATCGTTTACATCTAAAATAAACGATTCTTAGATGTGGCAACTAAGCCGACAAAACATAAGCAGAAAAATAATAGGCCGAATTTTTTTTGATCCGGAAAATTTACCGTGTGAAAAAAACGGGCCCTGGTCAGATTCGAACGGGACCTTTGCCGCCCCAGCCGTATTAGTTAACACCAGGGTAATTGTGCAAGAGAAAAGGACAAATTGTGCACAGATAAGAAAAGGTAAAAAAGGCCTAAAATTAGTAAAGTCTTGCTACATGTCAGATTCGAACCTGCGATTTCGAGATATGAAGTCACACATCCTTCCCTCTCAAACACGGACGTTTAACAATTGTCAAAAACTAGCCACAAATGAAGCAGAGAACAGATGCTATGAAATTTCCTATGCTAGAGATCGTGAGTGTGGCAAAGTATCACCAAATGAGCACATTCATTTGCCAGTTAGGTAAGTTGAGTCATAGTAATACACAACGCTCGATTGAGTATAAATGCTGAAATACTTAAACAATATCCTTATTGAAAAAAGAAACAGATTTGCGAAAACGATTCAGTGTTTGTGTTGGTCAAGTTGTTTGCCTGGAAACAAGTCTATCCTCCGTTTAGATAACCCTTGCTAATCGCAAGCGCAACAAACGAAACGGAGTGCAGCCTGCATTTAGACAACCGCGTATTCATACTCGTCAGTATTTAGACAAATACTGTATGAACCAATCAGAATCGAGAAAAGACAAATAATCCAAAATAAATAATAAATATTTACTAATTTCTTCTTTGTCTCGGTTATGATTGGTTGAAACAGTATTTGTCTAAATACTGACGAGTCTGAATACGCGGTGGTCTAAATACTGCTATGTAACCAAACGAAACGAATCCACAAGTGTATATATCTTTGTTTTTACACATACATCAGTGGCTCTTGTCAATGACAAACCTTCTCTTCAAGTATCTGGACAAAAATTAACAACCTGTGCATTTGCATTTGCCTGTCTGGCCTGGTCCAGTCGACGCAGGTGTTTAAGGAGGTCCTGCAATTTCGCATTAATCCTGTAGAAAGCCAAGTGGAACACTTTGTGTGCCAGGAAAAACATTTCTGTGAGGGGCTCGTAACTCGACTTCACTAAACAAGGGACAACTTTTAATTGAAAATGTATGCTGGTGGTGGGAAACTGGAATAGATTCCAATTAATTTAATCATTAAGTTTTAATTTTAACCATAGAGTCGCTTCAAATAAATTCAGGTAAGGGCAGATTATAACAGAAATTTTATTTGAAGGGTTAATATTAGAAATTGGCGTGAAAATGGGAGAAGAAAATATCCCTCAGACTGGGGTACAAATTAGGAATCCAAAGACTGTCAACCTGGCAGCTTGTTTGTCGAACTCTCTTCGTCTCCCTCCTGCGAGGGGGCCTTTGTGACGAAGGTGTCTTCCTGGAAGGAGAAGTGCACCCCTGACAGGTCCCTCTCCCCCTCACTCATATGCATGGGGGCTCTGCAGTAGGAGGGGTCTACCTTCAACACTTTCTCTGAACAGGGATGCTGCTTAGTGAATTTGTGCACTACCTAAATCCAAACCAATATTTAATTGTTCCAAATTTGAGCTTAACTATTTTCAAAATTCAACCTTAATGTCATATAAAAGCTGCCTAGATTCTTTTTTCACTTTTGTATCAAAATGATTTTCAAAGTTTTAAGTCTACTTTCACTTTCGTATGAAAAATTACTTGAAACGTGAATTAACAACATCACTTCACGAAAAATCCTTTGGTACTGCACATCTTTACACTAGTTTTTCATGAAAATGTTTCGAGCAAAAATAAAACAACCTCAATATAACGCTACAGAATTCAAAAAAAACTTACTTTCATGCATACAGTTGCAAGATTTAGAAAGAACCCGTCACTTGCAAACTCAGAATCACTAGCTTGGGTTCCATGTAACGTAGCTCTGGCCCTGTTGGCGCGAATACAGTCGGCTACCCAGGCGTGGAAACGCGATGCACAACTTTTGTGGGCAAGGAGTCTGCCAATGACTGAGTAGCCGTACGTTGTAACTTTCTCCATGGCCGCTTGCAGATTCTGTTCTTGCCTTTGAATGTCTGATTTGCTCGACTGACTTGGTCTACAAATTCATAAACTGAGAAAAATTTAAATGCGTTCTCCTGAGTATAGCCTCAATCTAAAACTTCATAACATAGCCAACAGATCTTTTAACTTCCACCGTAAATCTTTCAATTAAAAAAACAGATTGACCCTTTTCGATGGAACTTACTCCATTTGAGAAAACTGAATCAATAAGTAAAATTTATACACTAGTGGACAAAATTAAGCGCAAATATTGTTTTCTTTTTAAATGTCCAAGTGTGAGGACCATTTTGAACAATATTTACATAAAGTTTTAACAAAAATTTTTAATCTACCGACAGAAAATGATCTGAACTACCTCTCTGGAAGTCTCAATTTTTAATTTGAAGCACTTACCAGTTTTTTCCGGGACTGGAAATGCCAGTTTTCATCATCCGCAATAAGTTTCAACTCGCGTGAAAACTTAAGAAACAGCTAAGTTTAGTAAAGTTGTCACACTGATTATTTCAATTTTCTCGCTGAGAATGTTTCATGTCGCGTGAACAACATTTTTACTCCGCTTATTGGAGAAGAATTCACCACTATGCAAAACCTAGCGCAGGCAATGAAAATTGGAATTTTTAGACCCGCAAAAAATGGTAAGTGCTTCAATTTAAAAATTGAGACTTTCAGAGAGGGTTGTTTAGATCATTTGCTGTCTATCGATTTAAAAATTTTGTTTAAGTTCAAAGCAAAGGTTGTTCGGAATGGTCCTTAAAGGTAGGCATTTTAAAGACTAAAAACATGAATTTGCGTTTAATTTCGTCCACTAGTGTATTTCGCTAGGAAATCTGAAAATTTATTCCCTTTTTCGAAACCAGAACTTGATCACGTTTTTCGTGACGTTTACGCTTTTGCTGTTCGATAGCGGAGTTTGCCTTCCTTTTAACAAAGGAAATGAACGGAACTTCAAAAGAAATCAATAGTCAAATCGTGAAAAAATAAAATTGAGCCTGAACAAACTTTAAGACTTTTCCTGAAAAAAATCATCACGACATCATCTATAAGAGTCTACATTCATCGACTCTTAATTGATCTCGAAGCCATAGAATTCCGAAGTCAAGCACAGCATTTGTTGTTTTTTTCGCAGCATTTGTAATTTTTTGCTATTGGGCATCGTAAAAAACTAACAAAAAACCCACGCGACCTAAATAAGTGGCTTCACTTCGTTAAATGACAAGAAAATATATAAATTATGGCTTACCTGAAGAAATAAATAGCCAGGTTAGTGTTGCCTAGTAGGTTTACATTTGTGTGTGCTGCCACAAGAGTCGACTTCTCCAACAATCTGCCCAGAAGAGACGTCTGGAAGTCCACTGGAGAAGAGACGTTTGGAAGTCCACCACTCCACGCGTCTCGCTCCCTGTTGCAGATAATAGAATGATGATACATACTTTCAGATATAAACTGCGCTAATATTATTATTATAGTAAAGGAAAACTAATCTATACTTTTCTTCGAAAACGTCTCATGCTACTCTTGTTACATAAAACTTAACAAAATTTTTGCTCTCAATAGAAACGTCATTTCATTTTTGTGCCATAAAATCACTAAAACTTTAACAAAAAAAAGTATTTTTTTTTCGACACAGACGCGAAGCAAGCAGCACAATTTTCGATTCAACAAAAAAAAGCATTGTAAATTAGCAGACGTCTAACAACGTCTACAAAAATTATAAAATTCTCTCGTGTAAAATATGTTTAAAAACATAAACCGCCTTATTTAAACATTCAAAATCATGAATCGAACGGCAGCTTAGCCGACAATACTTGGTTGAACGCCAGTTGTGCAGAAAATAAAATGATGTCATAGAAAATTAAGAGCTATGAAATTTTGAAACTGGAAGATTACGCTCTATTTTTGAAAAACAAAAGCATGACAATGTATTTTGCAAATCAAAAGAGCTAACTAGGCCTATATCACCCATTTAACCGAACCCATTTACGCTAAAAATATTAGATAAATATACAACATAAAAATTGGTAAGACTACAAACTGCAGCAGGAATTTGAACACAGGCGCAGCGGAACTTCATACCACTTCACTAAATGCACAGAACACGCCTTGAATTTACAAAAAAACTACTTTCAAAATTTTTTAATGAACAGCATGAAAAAAATCAAAAATTAGCAAGCAAAATAGGCAAAACATCTTGGAACTCAATTACTTGCCCCAAGCCGAAATACACCGAAGTTATTATTCATTCGAGTAAAACATGCCCGAAACCGGCAAACTTCGTGCTGCGGTAACTAAGCCGACAAACAAATCCGACAAAAATTTTGACACGAAGTCAATTTTCCGCTTACAAAAAAAAACAGGTCCTTTACGGATTCGAACTACTGACCTTTGTCTTTATGGTCAGGTGCGTTTTCGCCACAAGCGCGAATTAACGTCTGACTTTAGATTTCATATGAACCAAAGGTAAAATGATTCGAGTGATTCTGTTAAACTAGTTGTTAACCCGAAAAAAAGTTATCGAAAGCGAAAAAGGCAGATAAAAAAGACCAGATCTGGCAGGGATTCGAACACTAAACCTCATGTTCCGGGAGAGCGTGCTTTACTTCTGGACCAAATGAGAGTGTCTTCACTTATGTTAAGTTTCATAATGAAGCAAGCATTTCTTTCTTTTGTAAATTTATTTTTGAAGACAATCACTAATGCCTAATTCACTAAATTTTTACGCGTTTGTATAGTTCTATCAACACGACGCACTTTTTTTTTGATAATGTGGTCCAAACATTCTGTGCTAGTAAGAAACAAACGGCTCTCCTTTTTAAGTATTGGGGACAGTTGGGTAAACTTTTTCGCAAGATAGTACATAGCCAACCGACAGTTGGAAAAGAGTCAATGATTGCAAGTAAACAGAAAAAAATGATAATAACTTGCTTTTAGAAATAATCTCAACTTTCGAAATTTTAAGGCAAAATAGATGCCTTTGAAACTTTAAAAGTTTTATTGAATTAACCCAATTTGAGAAAACTGGATCAATAGGTATTTGTTTATTCCGCTGGGAAATCTTAAAATTAAACTAGAAGTCGATCACGTTTTTCGTGAATTTTACTTTCGTGACTCTTCAATAGCTGAGTTTACTTTCCTTTTAACAAAAAAAATGAGCTCAACTTAGAAAGAAATCATGAGTCATACCGCGAAAAAGATCATACTACGTTCATCGACTCTTAAAAAACTATCTAAAACTATATTGGTTCATATTCAATCCTAGGCACTTTCAATTTCAAGACCACAACCCAATGCCAACTCCTCTTCAATGCAAAAGATACCAACAATGTACGGATCTCTTATTTCCCCTCTTATGTTACAAAAGATGGCAGAGATTCGTTATAGGGTACAAATTTGATTAGTCCTATATAGAGATTTATATTCCTGTCTAAGAAGCATAGGGTGGTGGGGGGAGGGAGGTTAGTTACAGTGGTCGTAAATGAATCTAAAAGACTGACTGATGATATTGCATGAACAACAGACACATCTGTTCGTCTCTTAGAAGAGCCACAATCAAGTCTACGAAAGGTTGCATGGTGAGAGACACTGACACGTCAATGGGGGCGAGGGAGGAGGAGATGGTGTTGAAGATAGGGAAGAACAGTTCAGAGAGACTGCACATGTCACACCTGTCAATCAAAACCATTCCAACTTGTCAGTCAATACCATTAACACAGCTAAACATATCAGCAGTCTTGACACGTGTTGTACAAAAAATGTCTCGCCTATCACATTGAAAGTGCGGCATGTAATAATTTTTTTGATTGGGGTTTAGAAAATATTTTCAATTTCGACCTACTTTCGCTCCTTTTACAATTTCAGAAATCGTTGAAGTTAAAGAAGCTTGTTATTTTAAGGGAAGCAAAACAGGGCATGGTTGACTTTGCTCCCATTTCGTTCTTTTGAGCTCTATCAAAACCCAAACGAAACTCGATTTTTTCAAAAAAAGATTCTAGTGATTTTGAACTCACTTTTGAGCAAAGTCAATAAATTCCGCCAGAAACCAATTGAGCACATCTTCATTCATGGCCGTTGACGTCACCTTTCCCGTGAACACATCCACAAACTGCTGCTGACAATTCTGCCCACTGTACAGTTCAGGCGGAGTTAACAGACACGTGACACAATTAGTGAACAACTTCTCCTTCACATTTTCAGTCCAGGATGACAACTGAGTTGCCGAAATAGACGCTTCATCGAACAGTCACGGCTATAATTCTTGTAACCTTTTTTTTAAATGAGGTAGCTTTGAAAAAGACAATTGCGAGGAACCAGGGCTTTTCTACTCCAAAAACCAACAAGAAAAACAGTTTTAAAAAATGTTAAGAAGAAAGGATTAAAATTAGGTGTATCTGTCAAAATAGGAAACAATTTGTGTTAAGTAAACATTTCAAACAATAAAACTTCAAACAATTGATTTTTCAAGATTGTTGTATAATTTTTTAAATAAGAAAAACAGTAAGACAATTCGTGATTCTGTTAACACCTTATCAAAAAATATGGCCGTGACTGAATACTGAATTGATTACTGTTAGTTGTGTGTAGCTTAAAGTTGCACAGACGTCCGTAACAGCTGCAGATATAAGTGATGACGTCATTTTCACAGACTTCCTCTTGTTTGGAGGAGCTGACTCCTAGTGGCTATTGAAACATCAGTACGTACATCATCCGATTTTCAAACCTCTTTTTAGAAAGATATTTTCAAGCTATCCTCACTAATTTTCCGCTTAATTTTTTTTACAATTACTGAACTTTCGGTCCACCAGATATGAAGGTCCCCCCTATTTTTATTCTTGTCGCGTACTACATAAACCTCATTTTAATAATGCTACTAAAGATTTGGGATAACAAGGAAACTCCGTATTTAGTAACGATGCCGGTTTTCATTGCAATCACAAGTAAAAATCACAGGTTTGGAAAATCAAAATGAGATGAAGACGGCGAGATCTTTAACTTCAATAAACCTAAGCATCAATTACAAATGATCCTTAAATGCTTAAATCGGCAACTGAGTTTATCATTGAGATGTTTTAGTCCTCTTCTTCTCAGAAGAGGCGATCAAATCAACGCAACATTTAAAGAAAGAAAAAATTTATTTGTTCAGACATACAAGTACATTTACAAAAAAAAATCAAACAAATTAAGCCATTAATATTTGGTAAAAGTGCGTATTATCTGAAGAGGACAGACTAAGGGCAAATTAGATGCCCACTAAATGTCTACCCAGTATAAACTGACTGAGACATAGCACGTTAATGTGTAAATATATATAGCTAATTACGCAGCAAGTATTTTTGTAAGTAATTAGAAAAATTTCATATTTTTTAAAACAAAATGGCGTTTTCTCGAAGACCAGCTATTTCTGGTAGGTCGTATTTATTTGGGTAGAATCAGAGCTTTTTGAAGAGAAATATCTATTCTTTTTTCCTAAGTATTTGAAAAATTCAATTTTTTTTTACAAAAACGGCGTTTTCTCGAAAATTAGCCACATCTGGAAAGTCATATTTTTGTAGTAGAATCAGAGCCTCAGATGGGTTTCTGGAAGGATCCAGAATAAGCACTGATTTTGAAAAGAAGAAATTAATTATTATTATTTTTTAAAGTATTTGTCAAATTTCAAAACTTTTCTAAAAAAGGCGTTTTCTCGAAGACCAGCTATTTCTGGTAGGTCGTATTTATTTGGGTAGAATCAGAGCTTTTTGAAGAGAAATATCTATTCTTTTTTTCCTAAGTATTTGAAAAGTTCAATTTTTTTAAACAAAAATGGCGTTTTCTCGAAAATTAGCCACATCTGGAAAGTCATATTTTTGTAGTAGAATCAGAGCCTCAGATGGGTTTCTGGAAGGATCCAGAATAAGCACTGATTTTGAAAAGAAGAAATTAATTATTATTATTTTTTAAAGTATTTGTCAAATTTCAAAACTTTTCTAAAAAAAGGCGTTTTCTCGAAAACTAGCAAATTCTGGAAGGTCATCCTTATGGGGTAAAATCAGAGCCTCAAATTAGTCTCTGGTAGTATCCAGATTAAGCACCGACTTTTGAAAAAAAAAGCAAGAACTCTTTCCTTTTTTAAAAGTACTTAATAAATTTCAAAACTTTTTACAAAAATGGCGTTTTCTCGAAAACTAGCAATTTCTGGAAGGTCAAACTTTGGGATAGAATCAGAGCCTTAGATGGGTTTCTGAAAGCATCAAGGTAAGCAACATTTTTTAGGGGGAAAATCAGATCAACTAAATATCCTATGTAGTAACTCACTATTACCTAGGATGTAATTGTCTCTAAAATTGTGTACAATTAGAATTTCATCAACTTTTGTCATTTTGCCTATAATAATAGGCAGAAGATTATTTACGCTGAACATACAGGAGAACCTTGAACCCTTATTACTTAATGAGTACAACTTAGATTTAGTTTTGCAGAAAAGGGGTGATGGGTTAATTTACCCGGATTCCTTGTTTTATCAGCGAATGTTTTTAATTAAAACAAAGAAATTAGTTATTCATTCGGGTTTCAACTATTTGAAGATCTCAGGCAAAATTTCAGTAGATCATAAACCTAAAGCTCATGAACAGCTAAAATTTTATGATCATAAAAACTTTTGGTTATAAATTAAAACTTTCTCTTGAAAAAATATCATTCAGATAATTGATAATTTTTTGCTGATACATTAGAACTTGATTCAAAATCAAAAAAATTAGTACCACCATACAAAAGCAAGCCATATTGTATTATGGGCTTTATATTATGTATATGTTATGTATATGTCATTATAGTATTTTAGTAAAACACATTTCGGAGCATAATGCCTCATTTTTGAAACAACATCACAAGGCCTCCCTAATTTAGTATTTAATTTTTGGATATGATGTATAAATGTAGGCTTATTATCAAGTATAACGCCTAAATACTTACACGACGACATGGGATTATAAACAATATCATCCATACAAACATGAAAGTTAGAAACACTTCTTTTTTTCAAAACTGATTAATGTTGTTTTGTCTGAATTAATGATCAATTAATTCGATTTCATCCACGCCAAAATTTTTGTTAAATCATGCTGGAAGAACTCCAAATTGACGCTCTCACATGCTACATTTACAACATCAACCAACAGAAAAACGTTTGAACTTCATGCAGCGTGATGAATATCATTTATGAAAACTAAAAAGAGAAGAGGACCTAAGAACTAATCCAGCGGAACGCCCGTGGTCACTGGTAATCAAACCGACGAGCAGTTATTTGCATGAACACATTGAAACCTTTGAGATAAAATAAAAATTAAACCAAGAAAGACAATTACCCCGGACACCATTATTTTCCACTTTATTCAACAGAATTCTGATATCAAGAATATCAAATGCTTTTCTTGAATGAACAAAGAAACTGCATTTGATATTTTTGTCTTTACCCATTCTTAGTCGTTCAGTTAATTCAGCTAAAGCCTCGATATTTGCAAAATTTTGCCAAAACCCAAATTGATCCTCATATATGATTTTGAACTTTTCAAGGTAATTGTGCACCTGGAGTGCATGATTTTTCCAAACACTTAGCCATAGCTACTCAAAAGAGCTATGGGACGATAGTTGTTAAGATCTAACTTACTATCAGATTTATATAGTGGCAAAATTTTAGCATCAATAAGCGCCTGAGGAAAAGTACGTTTGCTAAACGACAGGTTGATTAGATATGTTAAATATGGAGCCAGGACAAAACAGCCTTTAATCAGTAACAGATTACTTATTTCATCAATGCCCCAAGAATGCTTAGGCTTGAGACTATTTATGGCATTGAAGGTCTCAATGAGTGAGCAATTGAAAAAGTACATTGATTGACTGGCACTTGTTATTTGAAAGATAGCCTCAGCCCCTTCCATTTTGCTAGCAATTTTTGCTCCAATTGGAGCGAAGTATTCCTGGAAAGCAGTCGATATGACTTTTGGATCAGAAATACTTGCTCCGTCTAATTGCAGAGCAGAAATTTTATCACTTCCTTTTCGGTTACCTTTTATATCAATTAATAACTCAAAAACTTGTCTGGAGTCACCAATACAATTATTGAATTAATTAAAACAATAATTTCTTTGGCTTTTTGTTATCAGGAACTCAACCTGTTTCCTTTGATTTAAAAAGTTGTTTTTCTTGATTAAATTATTCGAATCAAATTTTTAGGACTTATACAATTTGTTACAATTAAAAATAGTGTTTTTGACTTCTTAAGTGAACCACGGCTCATTCAATTTGGTAACTTTTGCTTGTGATTTTCTAATCAGAGCAAATTTATTTAAAGTTGATTTCAAGCAATCACTAAATTGGTTTCTAGCTCTTCGACTAAATTAGATCTCTCCAACATTTGCTTCAAAAGGACTAAAAAGTCGTTAGTACCTTTTTCGTTATTCAAGAAGGACATGTCACGAAATGAGGAATATATGAAATCAAACTGTTTCAATTTGAGCTGCAAAAAACTTGACAATGATCTGAGAAACATTCGTTCTCAAGAATTCTGACGAATGGTTCTTCAATATTTCTTTCTATCAGATGATCAAAACAAGTTCCAGCCACCTCAGTAAAACGAGTTGCATTTCTTTTTAGTAGATCAAAACCATTTGCGTACATAAAATTATTGGAGACGATTTTTCGTGCGTACATTGATGTTGAACTCACCAGTCAAAACTACCGGTATTTTTATACTCAGTATCTCCAATTCCTTGTCTAACTCATTGACGAACTGTTTTTTATCATATCTAGGAGGTACATATGCGACTATTTTGATTAACTTATTCCCGAATGCTTCAGCAAGTACTGCTACTGATTCAGGTAGATTAGTATGTAGTTGTTCTATCAAGTTTACATTTCCACCTAGTTTCATCATAGTACCTCCACCTCTGGTTTTCGATTGTTGCTTATAATTGTATGAAAGTCTTTGATTGCAACAATTTAACCATGAATGACTCGGAGCGAAGAGGGAATAAGGACCACTCACAATATAACACAATAATCCAAAGGAAACAGCATTTGTAAAAACTGCTACATAATCCATCGAGAAAATTAAATTGTCAATAAATTTTTTTCTCAGAATTTTTTGTCAATAATTTTTATCAGACCTTATAGGCTCTAATAATCCTCTGTTCTCGATTTGTTCTGTTCTCGATTTGAAATACGTACCAATTTGAAATACGTAGAAAACACAGTTGACACAAAAAGACGAAGCAGCAAAGTCGCCAGCAAACAGCGGCAAAAAAGAGTTCGAGAATACAAAAAAGCACGTTGAAGCAAAAAATTGACATTGAGACAATGAGCGCCCGATCCCACTACCAATTTCTTTATCGACAAACAGTACAACCTAACCACTAAAACTGAATTTCTCAATTTAGTTAGTCTATACCAGGCATGGCTTTACAAATTTTCCAAAAAAGAAACAACTAAACGCAAAAACTGAGCATACAAATTTAACACAGAAATATGTGACTGACATAGAACATGCGACTGACATAAATAATAAGGGTTAAAAACAGAATATAGACAAATTATGTAACGAGAATCTAACACGGAGACAAATCTGTACTTCGCACACAAGCAAAAAGAGGCACTAAAAACTAACTCCCTGCTTGTAGCAAAACACTTCTTATGTAGAATCAGCA